GCTAAAAATTTGAATTATCAATTAATACACTGGTTTATGCCGAATTGATATACGAGATTAAGAGACTGGGAAATACTTTTCGAAGACTCGAACATTGTATATCTTGGATATGCTCGGTAAAGAAAATAAGCAAGTATTATTTGTCTTCAAGCTTTTGAAGATTGAATTATCACGTAATTTTATTTTATTATTATTTTGGCATTTCTTACAAATTCTCACTTATTTCTAGAAAATTTATATATCTTTGTTTCAGATCCAGATAAAATGTAGCAATTTTATCTTCTTCTACATATCTGAATCACAAAGCATGCAATAATCATATAATTGATAGAATACTGTATTCCGTACATCGCTGTTTAATTTGGTTGTTTCGCTTCTTAAGATTGACACAAAATCACGCAATATTTCGCATGTTTTAATTTGGCTTCAACATTTGTAGTTTTATTTTACTTTTGTCTAACAAATTCCAATATTTTAGACATTCTTTTCGCATGTCTTCTTGCTTTGGTTCTGTTAATGTAGGACTCTCACAAATTCCGACAATCTTTAAGAGTTTCATTATTCGTTACTTCCTAAAATTGTCATTGGAATTTCTCAAGTACTTTATGAATTTCCTGTTGATTTGTAATACATCAAGCGGTACCAATTCGATCATTGTTTTTATCAATTTTCAACGAAAGCAAATAATTGATGTGAAAAAGATAATCCGTAAACTTTGAGTATCTTTTTCTTTTTGCATATTAAATAACGTTTTGAATTAGTCTCGAAGTATTGAGGTTGAAAATGGAAATATTATCAAAACATTTGTACATCAAGTAAATAAGACCAGCACTGAACGATGTAAATAAATCAAATAATTTTGTAACAAAATGTCCTCCCGGTCTTATCATTATCAAAGCTATTAAGTATTGATATAAATTTAATTGTTTGGATGGACTTTTTTGGATGTTCTCTTGATCTTCTACGAAAAATTCATCTAGCATAAAATGTTGCCATTCTTTCTTTTCTGTATCTGAATTATCCTGAATTACAAGGCATAGTATCAAATATATGGCTGATTCCGTCTTACTTCGGTTACTATTCTTTAATTTTATCGGTTTATTCCTTAATATTAATATAAAATTATTTAATATTTTACTTTTTCTTGCGATTTTTGAAATTTACGATTTTACTTTTATCTGGCGAATTCCAATATTTCAGACATTCTTTTCCCATTTCCTGTCTATTTTCCTTTGAATTCCATGAATGTTGGATTTATGTATAATAGTACAATAATGTTTAAGAGATTTATTATTTGTTTCTTTCTTAGAATGTTATTTCTTAAATTTTATAAATTGTCTCTTTTCAACACGTCAAAAGCAACAATATAATCACAAGTAAGGACACAATTAATTAATCACAAGGAATAAGAAATACATAATAAAATTCAGTTCATTCTGTGTACGTATGTGGTACATATATATATATATATGCACATACACATACATACATACATACATACATACATACATACATACATACATACATACATACATACATACATACTATACATACATACATAC